GCACCAGAACGGTCGATTCCGACCGACATAGTAGGTACCTAGGTAGGAGGTATTAATCCTGAACCCTGAACCCTGAACCCGGTCAGGTATCTAGCGTAAGATAGCGTGAGTGGCTCGCCCAGCCCAATCGAACTCCGGAAGGGGCCTTTTTCGTATCACGTTTTCTGCCCAGCTAAACTTTCCCCGGAGGTTACCCATCTGAATCGTCGGCCATGCATTGACTTCTTGTCTTTTGGGAGGCAGAAAAATGGCTGCATCAAACAGCACCGAGCCATTCCCGCCTGTCGGCGACGATCCGAGTGAAGCCACGCGAAGCCCAAGCCACGAAGATGGGCGTAGCACTATTGCCACCCGACCGACCGCATCGTCGTCCATTAGCAGTCGCTTACGACGACTTTCCGTGACTTTTGAAGAGTCTGGGCCTCCAGAAGGATTTATGGCTGCCACCGGTGGCATTGCTTCCTCCATGCTCACAGGACGACCTGCCAGAGATTCGACAAGTTCCTCAATCGAGCGGCGCGACTCTGCCAACCAACTGCAAGAGGTCTCACCAGGGCCAATGCGATCCAATACGATACACTCTGTGGCGGAAGAGCAAGAGCCTCAACAAGTTCTCTTGGAGCCATTCATTGTAAAGTCGCAGGAGCCGACCGCAACGGCAGCTTTCCCGAATGGGTATCACTTCCCGCCCAAACATTCATCTTGGCAATCAACGAAAGATGCCAGCATCACCTTTTGGAACTATTTTCTCACCCCCGTAGGTTTTCTTGTCACAATATACGGCCTCAATGTTGTCGCGTGGGGTGGCATGCTATTTCTGCTTCTTTGCAACGCCTGTGAGTCTGAGCCTCGGCCACGAGCACGCGTGCATGCTGACCTTCGATCCTCTCAGCACCAGCCATGTGTAACCCAACATGTAACGATATCAACTCTCCTCGGCGTGTCTGGATCGAGATTGACTCTCAAATCCTCAATGCCCTGTTCTGCGTCACAGGGTTCGGACTGGCGCCGTGGCGCTTTCGCGATCTATATTTTCTTTTGAAATACCGATTGGGTGGCCAAGGAGTTGGCCTCCGACGGCTGGCAGGTATTCATCGAGGTTGGTTTCGCTTACAGGGTTCCACGGAGTTAGAGCCATCGATAGGTCCGGATAATGTCGCAAACCGACCCAACAAGGCAGACTCTGATTCTATTCCCTATCCTGAAAACAGGATTCCCGATGTCCCTCTCACTGGGGTACGGGCTCGAGCCACGGCTCTGTGGAAGCTTGATTTCGTCATCTGGTTCATGGTGGGCAACACACTGCTTCAGTGTGTTCTCTGTGGATTCATGTGGGGAATGAACAGATACGATCGGCCCAGTTGGTCTACTGGTCTCTTTGTTGCGTTGGGCTGCATTGTAGCGATTATAGCTGGCCTCGTTATGTTCTTCGAAGGCAAGGCTGTCAAGGGTATTGAGGGTGTACCTGTTAGCCAGGCTGATATGGAGCTGCTTGCGAAGGACAGAGAAAGAGGCGTCTACCACTTTAATAATATGGGGGACAAAGGCGAGCAGAAGAGCAAGAAAAAGGGACGCTAAGAAGGGCTACAGCTAGGATAAGCGTTCTAAAGAGGCCGGCGCTATCGTTAATCACTACGGAGAAATCTAAAATAGCTGAATTTTAATATGTTCTTTATCAAATTTGCCTTCTGATTCTTTTTTTAACGGGTATTCTAGTTAGATCCTGGTCTCGTAGCGTGGCAAATTAGCACTATAGGTAGATAGTAAATAGGACTATATATGATAATAAACTAGTAGAGTAGGGTAAATAGTAGTTAGATATATCTAAGTAATTCTATTTATAATCTTAAATTCTATTAAATTATTTACTTTTTCTAAATTAAAATATTAAATAATGTATACTTACCTCTATAATATAGTAGTTCTATACTATAAAGTTCTATACAGGTTAGTATATAGATTATAGGTTTAAATCTTATTAAAGATATCTCTTTTTAATTCTCTATTTTTATTCCTAAAAGTCTAATATATTAAAAGTAAATAATATAATAAAAAAGAAAAGAAAATATAAATTAAAGTAACTATAAATATAAGTAAATAAAGACTATTCTTAAATATATATTAATAATTATATTATAATTATAAATATAATAATAATATAGTAATATATAGTATTATTATATAAAAAAATTAAAAAATATAAAAAAGATTTAAATTATATATAATAAAAGATAAAATTAATATATTGAATAATATAAATATCTTTAAAAAGTAAAAATTATATATATATATATATATAGATTATTTAATTAAATAGTTAAA